AAATACAGCACAGCACCGACACAGGGCACACTCACAATACAGACTTCGCCCCGAATAGAACGCACTGTCATTATAGCTGTATCTAGACCCAATTGTGGCCCAAATACAGCTATAATGACCGGGCGTTCTATTGGGGGAAAGACGGCAGGACGTTTTTCACTCCTACCGAAGGGCTCAGATGCACGAACTCCGAGGACGTTTGGTCCCTCCCGTCTGGACGAAATCGTCACCAGATGTAGGGACTCCGAGGACAAGCGGCAATTCCGGCCAGATACATCCCAATAAGTCGTAGCGCCAGTCTGCCAGATGCATCCCGATTCCCCCTATCATGACTCTATTTGCGAAGGAAAGCATTTTGTATACATTCTTAATGCCGGGGTGTTTATGTTTGGGGCAAGACAGTAGTGTCCCGATTCTGCCTCAGGATTGCCTTGACTGCCGCCTTCGTTTTTTTTTTTTTTTTTTTTGACAAACTTCTGGAGAGGGCTACACTTGGGAGAGTGATAAGAGCATCTCCCTCAAGTGGTCCCTCCGGTGAAGGCTCCGTCTATTGGTGGGGAGCTGCACCTGCTGGAAACCGGGTCCAGCGTCCCAAGTATTACATAAAAGCGTTGAAATTGCTGGAAACGGGGTCCAGCGTCGCACTTGTTGCACCTTTACCGGCCTTCGTGCTGCTGAAGGGCCAAGTTGTTCCTGCTATGATCATTGCTGTATTCCTCCTTACTCCACATCCAGTACCACTGTTGACTTTTTTTTTTTTTTTTTTTTTTTTTTTTGAAAAAGGGCCCAGTGCCCAAGGCTTCTGATTGAACAATAAATGCCAGAGGCCGGGGTCCTCACAGTCTACCCGGAAAAATTAAAAAAATCTTCTGGGAGCCTTACCCAGTTTCGCTTTTTACAGGACCCACTAGGGACCCGCTACATCCTTCAGAAATCTAACTACCCAAGCCCGAGGTCAAAAAGAAAATACAACCTCCTGCCTTGTAGCCAACAGACAAACTCAACTACGGCTATGTCTATCTAGGTATGCCTAAGATTTCAGACTAAGACTAACGGCCCCACTACCCTAACATGACATGTCCATTGAAGCTGTATTTTCTGCAAAGAAAGGCTGCCCATTCCTACACTCTACCTCCATACGACAATAACAGAAACCCTGCAATACTAACCTGCTAAGTCTTCCATGCTACTGAGCAACAAGCCACCGTGACACGGCCTAAAACGGCCCTACAAAAAACTGCCCTAAGGCTCTAAGCCCGGCCTAGGTCACCAGTCATCTGGTTGAAGCCAACCCGCAAAAGTTAATCCGCCATCTGTAGCTGTGACCCGTTGGCATTCTCGTTCCCACGTCTGCCCAAACCAGTATCTGTTCTTCCTTGAGAGCCCCGTCGAGCGGTGCCAGTCGGCACGGATTGCTTGTCTGATATGGGTCTTAATCTTGAGGATAACCTTCTGTACGTGAGTGGGTTCTTGTTTAAAGACTGCCCTGTCCCGAGCCGACCAAATGGCTTCCAAGATGGCTCCTCGACAGGTGAGAGCAATATAGGCCCATCTTGAAGTGAAGTCAGTGGCTATGTCGGTCTGTCCATAGAGAATCCCCTCATGGGACGAACGAAAGCTACCGTCTGTATATAACTTCCATCTCTCTCTCCACCATTCCCACACTTGGAGCAAAAAAGGACAATACAGCCAAACGTGAGAAGCCGTCTCCCAACCCCAGTTACAGCGGGAGCATTGTTCACTAATGTCCATACCCTTGGAGACCAGCCAGGATGCAGATGGTGTTAGTAGGAGAGACTGTAACCATAGCAAACTAGCCTGTTTCTGAGAAACCATCTTTTTCAGAGCTCTCCACAGAGAGAACAAGTCCATGTTACCGAGCAGAAAGTCGGGTTCTTTGGCTAGTCTGTTTGCCGCCAGTTGTATTGGTTGCTCCTTGACCCTTGTCCGCAGTACTTGAGCCCCTATTTTGGACTTATATGCTATTACCGGCGTCGGATTGCCTGGCCGAGAGGCTTCCGACCAGCCGTAAAGCAGCGGCTCTATTTGAATGGTTGACGCATCCTCTACCCACAGTTTAGCCCGTTCGCTGTTGCCTGTTTTCTCCAACCAGACACGGCATTCAACTCCGTCAAGTGTCGAGGGGATGACCTTGTCCTCGCCTCTCTGAAGATCCGGCTCTGTGCCCCTTACCAACCTCAGCCCGCGCTTCCAAACCTGTACTTTAACTCCTTCCTGTAGCTCAGGGCCAATGACTTCCCAAATTTCAGTCTGATCCTCAGAGTTTAAAAGCCAAGTTCCCTGAGGGTGTTCTGCTGTACTAGGAAGGCGGGCCTTCCAGTATCCTGGAATGGCGCTCAGAATCTGTTGAAAGTTCGTCTCAACCTTGCGAAGGCGAGGAAGCCTCCTCCGCATCTCGGAAGGAGCTAACCAATCATTAGCCTTAGAATCCCACAAGTCTTTAACCTAGATGATCCCCTTCTCTACCCATGTTCTACCAAAAGATCCAGCGGATCCGTCAGCTTTAAAGAGAGACCCGTCTGGTTGGGTGATGAGGGGATTTTCAAAAAGAATTTGATTAAGCACTTCAATTCTGGACAGGGGCTGAGACAAAGACTGATGGAAAAGCTTATGCCATGCGTGCAGAATATTTCACCAAACTTTAGATTTCGGGCGTTTCGCTGTGAAAGACAGGATAAAACAACATAACCATACATCAGACGGTCTATGCAGATTCCATTCTTTAGCCAATATGAATTCCCCCAACCTAGCCCAAAGTTTGGACCTGGGGCCGAAGCATGCCGCAATAACCCATTTACACAGTAAAGCAAGATTCTGATGGATGGGGTCTACGATGCCCAGTCCCCCCTGTTCACGAGGTAACGTGATCGTTTCCCAGGCTATCTTCCAGATGAATCCTTGATGTCGGGCTGCTGCTGGTTTCCATAGATACCTGGCGGCATCCCTATATATATATATATATCGTCAAATATATATATATATATATATATATATATATATATATATATATATATATATATATATATCGTCACAAATAGAACTGCCCGGTAAACCGTAGGCAGAGAGAGAGAAGAGGACAACAAACGAGGGGCTGTGACAAACTGTTTCGTCGGAGTTTCACCGACTCATCAGGAGGCTGAACCCTCAACAGTCTGCAGAATCCCCTCACTGATTACACTGTAAATGATAATCTACCTTAACCAAAATCAAAGTAGACTATCACTCACCCACACCAGATGGAAAACTCTACAGACTGTCGGTTCACACCCCATCACAAGCCAGCAAAACATCCACGAAACAAAGAAAGGTCTGTCACAGCCAAAAAATACACTCCAGACACGCCGCTGGCACTAGAGGCACAACATGGCCGCCTAGTAACGGCCCCGACCACTGCCGCTCGACCTGACCGGAAAAAACCGTAGCAGGAAGCTAGCGAAGTCGTAGTATATATCGTCACAAATAGAACTGCCCGGTAAACCGTAGGCAGAGAGAGAGAAGAGRAMAAMAAATATATATATATATATATMGWYAAATATATATATATATATATATATATATATATATATATATATATATATATATATATATATGCTTTTACACCCAAAAGATGTACAGTCAGCGGAAACCACAGTATAGACAAGCTTAGGCTGCTGATGAAAGAACCAGAGCGCGACCAAACAGAGATAACTTAAAGTTGCGTTTCCATCCTGCCATCTTCGCTGAAACCTTATAAGCTAATATGTCATCTTGAGTTTCAGAACAGTCCGATAAGGACACCTGCACCCCCAAGAACCTTTCCGAAGTTTTGGAGGGTACTTGCTTAAGCCCCCAGTCGACCTGTAGAGTATGGGTAGGGGAAAGGAATAGACAGATTTGTCCCAATTTATGGAAGCTTCAGATAACTCACAATATATATCTAGTACTGATTTAAGTTCCTGAAGGGCTACAGGGTGATTCTCACATGCCACAGTAAGATCATCTGCCAATGCGCCCCCCTTCCATTGTATTCCAGGGGCGAGCTTCTGGCCTGATATTGCCGGGTTGCTTCTAATATTATCAAGTAATACCTCGAGCTGAATTACAAACAGAAAAGGGGCTAACAGACACCCTTGTCTAAGGGATCTAGTTAGTATAAACTCCTCTGACAGTTTCTCATTCACCATCACCACAGAGGCTGCAGAATAGCTAGCCGTGACCCATGACCCATGTGCGAAAGCCAGGGCCAAAGCCCATCCTTTGAAGGGTGATATGGACGAAGCTCCAACCTATTCGGTCATTAGTTTTTTCCATATCAAGTAGCATAACCACCATGTCTCTTTTCTCCTTACTTATTACTTCCAGGGCCTGAACGGTAGAAATTATATTGTCGTATATAGACCTGCCCCTAACGAAGGCCCCCTGGTCCCACCCAATCAAATCGGGAAGGTATCTGGTCAGTCGTAAGGCCAAAGTTTTCGCAAACAGTTTATACGTCACGTTCAAGACTGAAATGGGTCTCCAATTCCGGACCTGACGTTTATCTCCCTTCTTATACATTAGAGAGATCATCCCCCTTGTAAAGCCTTTAGGGAATTTTCCCTGTTTGGAGTGCCCGATTGTATATATCGCAGAGAAACTGGTCAAAGGACTCCCAAGTTGCCAAAAAAAACTCTATGGGGAGGCCATCCAGGCCGGGACATTTGCCCTTGGCCATTGCTTTAGCTGCTGTTAATATTTCCTGGACATCCATCGGGCGATCCAGGTCGGTATCTATGCTTTGTGAGATCATCCGCGTAGTAAGATTCCAAAAAGACGATGTTTGTGCAAGATCCATCTGTGGAGGGTCCCACGGGCACTGAGTGGTGACGATATCTTTAAAATAATCGAAGGCGTAAGAACACATTTGAATTGTGTCCGTGGCCAGCGGGGCTGTTTGGTCAAAGGGGTGAGCTAACTCTCTAATCAAGGACCTAGACTGTTTAATGAACAGAGAGCGAAACGCCAGCTTGGTCATTTTATCGTAGCCCACAATACCTCGCAAGTTGAGAAACTCTAACCATTTGGGTTGTCTTTGAATTTCCATCGCCTCCAATTTCGCAAGGGACTCTCTGCGAATGCCGGACCAATGAAAGTCGGAAAAAGAGTCTTTACTCATTTCCGATTCAGCTTGGGTAATTAGTCTAACCAGAGATTTTTCTTTCCAACTTCGTGCCGCTGCTTTCATCCGTGAAAAGGTGATGAGGGTCTCTCTTACTATAGAGATGCCTGTGTCAGCCCATTGCAACGGATCAGAAAATAGATCCTTGGCTCCTTCCCAGTTCTTCATGTGATTGTTCACCCAGTCAATTATCCCCTGGTCTTTGAGCAAGTTAATATTTAGTCTAAAGGGGGGGTGGACTCTGTCAACAACCTCTCTGCAGACAATGTCCAGCAAGACCGGGTGGTGGTCTGAGATAGTCCCCGGTATCACATCGCACCATGTACTACGATCCCACGGCAAGCCCCGGATAAGGAAAAAATCGAGTTTTTTTCCGCGGGGCCAGGGAGGTAGGGGTGGGTGGTGGCCCGAACCACGTAAAGCCATTCTCTAACGAATTGAAGACTCTATAAGCATCTGATAGGCCTTGGGCTTCACAAAAGGAGGCAAGCTTTCGTGAGTCTTCTCTAAGGGGCTTTGCTGTCAGGGTGTCCAAGCCAGGGTTGAGGACTGTATTCCAGTCCCCTGCCAAGATGAGATTTTCGACGTCAGGGATATAGCTGGGCAGATCTCTAAGGAAGGTAAGGCAATGGGGGTACTCCGCAGGGGCATATATTGACATAACTGCCCATTCTTCATTCTCTATCTCAAATTTGATCCAGCACCAGCGACCTTCAGAGTCCGTATGCTGATCAATGATAGTTATGTCTAGATCCTTGTTGATCAGGATCGTTGTCCCTCCCTTGGAGCCTACCGACGGAGACCTCAGTTGAGGGCCTTCCCACCAGTAACTGCACATCGACAGTTTAACATGGCCCAATTTGGTTTCTTGTAAACAAGCTATCTGGACATTTTGGGAGTGAAGCCAAGCTTTGAAGCGAGATTTTTTGAATTTTTTAGCAGTATCTCCGAAACCCCGTACATTCCAAGAGCAGACCCTGATTCTATCTGGTAGAACCATGGCCTGTTCCTCTGCCGCTTGGGGGTTGGATACGACCCTTAGCCTTATTCTTCAAATTTGTCCCCCTGGCCACTACCCTGATCTGCTTGGTGCGCTCGGGGGGTTGACCGGGCTGGGGGGAGGGGCTCGGCTTGTTGAGCAACCTTGCCGCGAAGGTCTCAGAAGAAAAGTGATCAAATGCTTCGATCTGGTGCAGCCACACGGCTACTTCTTGCGCATTAATATCTTCAACCACTGTAATGTCTTCCAGTGTGTCTAGTGATGCATCCGAAAAACGAGACAGAGGCAGCCAGTAGATATTGAGAGATTTTAATTTCTCCATTTCTACTGGATCAGCTTGCAATCAGAGACACGCCAGGTGGAAGATAACTTTCTTCTGATCTGCCCTAGTGGCTATATGGCGACCTTGCTTCGGTGCCGGCAGAATTGAGCATTTGCAAATAGCTTGCAAGATTTGCTCTTTTACCGCCGTTGTCCATAGCTCATCTGACGGGGGTCCTGACATGACAATGGTGGGCAGGGACAACGTCTCCCTTTCATCCATTCTTGTCAGGACCATGGGGCCGTGGGGGGAAGGAGTAATAACCAAGGGTGTTAGATACTCGTTAATAGGACCTTTCTCCCTATCCCCCTTCGTGATCGTCTTCATTGGTTTAAGTTGCTCACTTAAAGGCTTTCTCCGGCGAGCTGAGCTTACCGGTTTCTTACCTTTAGGCTTCGCTACTGACAGTGCAGAAACCTTGGCTAGTCTATTCAGCATTATAGGCGACTCCTCCCCCTGAGCGCTAGGAACCGCTAGCTTCTTTGAAGCTCGCTGTTTCTTCTTCAGTGTGGAAGTGCTTAGGGGGCTGGTGGGTTTTCTATGTGAACCATCGGAGGACTTCGAAGTCAAACTGCGACTCCCGACCGACTGGAAATCCTCGCCCTCGGACTGGTAATCCGCCGAAATAGGCTGATTATCATACAACGTTTTGACTCCATAGTCGGAATCCGCCTCAGTTTCTTCTTGCGACGAGGCAAACACGTCATTTGCATACATCTTCCGGGTTGATGTGCGTCTACGGATCGCCTCTTCTGGCAAGAGATCCGAGAAGGGATCCTCTTCGTCCGAGGACTCCATAAGTACCCTTGGCCGAGGAGACATTACGGCCTTGCTGTGGAGCACCAGCTCATTCCCTTTGACTACAATGTTTTCATGTTCTTCATCATCGGGCCTGTCGGGCTTCTCCACCCTCTTTCGCTTTTCCCCCTTCGCAGGGGTGCGGTCCTCATCCATTCGGACAATCCCATCTTCATGTCTCACTATCAGCATGCTACCCTTTTGAATCTCCATATTCTCTCCCCCCTTCTCCACTTCGCCTCCTTTGTCTGTCCTGTCCTCTATCTCTCTTTCCACATGCCTCCCTCCCCCCGAACCTGACGGGTTCGACCCACCCCCCTTGCCTCCTTCCTTGGGGGGGTCCGGCCCCTTCCCCTTGTTCCCCTTCCCACTTCCCTCATCCTTCTCCCCCGTTTTCTCCTTCGGGGACTTGTTCCCCCCCCCCCCCCCCCTCTTTCCCTGATTTCACCGGATCCTTCCTCGATGCCTTAACATCCTGACTTCCTCCCTCTTTTCCTTTGTCCCTCTTCCTCTCTTCCCTTGCCTTCGACCCCTCTTCCTTGTTACCTCAGACAGCATTTACATATGAGCCCTTTTTTCGAGCGAAGCAGTTTTCGTCTCCCTCGTAATGGAAATGTTTCCTACACGCCGGACACCATGGGGTGTCAACACAAACTACTTCCAATTCTACATACTACCCGTCAGGACCTAGGTCCACAACCAGGTATTTTTTGTACCGTAACCGCGCAGCAGAATCCAGGTCAAAACGCACATTCAGAAGGTCGGGCGCAAGTTTATCCTTGAAGGCGGGGTATTCTTTCAGGAGTTCGCTGCCGTACACATCCCGAATTGCCCCTGGAAGCAAACCCAAGATGCCTATTGGGACTTGTTGGCAGCGAATCCAGAAAAAATTGTGTCTCGCAACCTCCCTCCATTCCCACAATTATTGTTCTGTCATCCAAGTTTGGAACGAGACCTTGTAGGTAATGTCATCCATTGTTATTTCAGTACGGCCCATGCGCAACATCCAGGTGGCCACTTCCTTTGAAGGTGCCACATAGGTGATCAAGTTTCGACCCTCATTGTGAAATAAACCACGTTTAAGAGGGGCCGAAGTTAGGCCTGAATTAGCCCAGCCGTTTTCGTAAATTCGAATGATTCTTTTCTTAACATCCGTGGACATGGAAGACGACTCGTCCCCGAACAGGACAGTGACCGCGTGTTCATACAACCATTCGGCCTGGATCTTGTAGAGATCCTGGTTAACTGTGACTTTGATGTAGTCGTCCCCCACGTCAACCTTTGAAGGGGCTAGACGTGGGGGAAGGACTCCATCAATGTAACAGCGTGCGATTAAGTCTCTGATCCTTTCCTTTTCCTCCGGTTACACCGGCGGCGAGGGTTCAGGCGAAGCCATAGGCGTCCCTCCTGGCACCTTCCCTATTTTTCGGAAGGTAAACACCTACCTAAGAAACTAACACAGGTCACACTATTAGTAAATACCTAACTTAATAATGTATATGAAGCTTCCAATAAATAGGACATCCAGTCGTACGTTCCCTCCCCCTTTCTCTTAACTCTGAACCAGGATAGGGATTGGATTAGGCATTATACCTGAACATTCGCCCTGGATCATCGCAATGAGCAAACTGACAGCAGATTCTCTCGCCTTCGAATTCCGTCATCAATACCGAAGTGGTCAGCAGAGTATCACCGGCTATCCTTCGATCTTGGTACCAGACAACTTTCCAACACTCCTCGACTCCCAGCACATGGGAACCAACCAGGCCTGAGAACTTCCACTACAGGCTGCTCACTATAGATCGACTATGGTGTGGATGGTTACGCCACACTTGCCCTCACAAGAGGGCTGATGACGTCAGCGTTTTGCCATGTTCCGGTGTTGCTCTTACCGTCTCCGGTAATGCCCAGACGAAAATAGCGCTAACGCAGCGCTGAGGCCGCCCCCCCTCTCGTTCCGTTCCATCCCCACTGTTAACTTTGAAACCCTTCCCCTGAGGTCTCGGCGAGGTCTGTTGTTCGTAGGGTCCAGCTCCCACTGTTATGGATTCCTATGCCCTCCTGTCTTTTATTGTGGGCTGTTTCCATCATAAACTCAGGTCCCTTTTGTCCCTTGGGGCTACTAGTGATTCCCTTTAAAAATCGGGATCGTTGATTGCCGCCGGCGGATTTAACCGCTTCTACAGGAATCTCGACGGGCGGTAAAAACGGGATATCCGATGACTATATAAGGGCCTCGCTCCACTACTCACCATAGTGAGAGGATGAGATAGATGAGTACTAGCAAGAAAAAAAAAGAGATAGATGAGAGAAGAATATAGCTTTAAAAAAAAATAAAAAATTATGGCGCTGTATCTTTCCATGTTCTTCCGGAAGATTCATTCTCATTTTGCACACTTGGTGAGTAAAGATTCATTCTCATTTTGCACACTTGGTGAGTAGTGGAGCGTGGCCACATGCAGCATTTACTGATTTGTTAATAACCCGGCGTCGTATCCCAAAAATTATGGCGGTGTATCATTGCAAAGAACCCGGCCACATGCAGCGGTTACGCCAAACGAACTTGACCGAACTCAGCATCATCAGATATGAACTTAGTTTTTCTAATTTTGTTTTTATTATTTTTTCGGATATGAACTTAGTTTGACGTTCTCGTGTACATACAGAGTAGAGAGATGGAAGTATTGAAAAACTCCCCCTTCCCAAAAAAAAAAAAAAAAAAGATTAAAAAATGAGGAAGGGAAGGGATGATCGAGTTGGAGAGGAAGAGAGTGCGAAAAAAAAAGTGGAAAAAGTTTGTCGTTTACGATTCGGATCTTTTGTCGTGCACTAGGGGCCGATTGATGATTGGCAGGAGGCAAGGAGGCTACTGTGAGGGGGTACTTTATGGTCGGATTTTCATCGACTCGTCAGGAGGTTGAGGGGGTACTCACACTACATAGCACTATAATAAATGCATCTGACCGCATTTACAGCGGACCTGTATGCATCTGGCTCAAATTCCGTTCAGAAATAAGACAAAATGTGCTACTGTGAGTATGCCCTGTGTGTGTGTGTGTGTGTGTGTGTGTGTGTGTTTGTGTTTGTGTGTGTGTGTGTGTGTGTGTGTGTGTGTGTGTGTGTGTGTGTGTGTGTGAGTGTGTGTGTGTGTGTACTACCGGTAGTCTGTCCAATTCATCCAGCTTCCGATTTAGGGCGTCGCCACACAACTCTCGAAATGTGAAAAAGACAAAAACGTGGCGGGTGCATCTGGCCATGTTTTAGCGGAAAGGTCATTATCATTTTGCACATTTCGGGAGTGGTGTGGCGATGCCCTTAGGTACTGAAACAGTGCATGAATCCTTGATCTTCATTCCCAACAGGTCATTGCCCTCCACAGGAAGCGCAGTCGTTGTAACGGGCGGGCAACTAACATCACGAACGACGTAATGCGCGAGTGCATAGACACTTGGTAGCCAACTTCTTTTCGACTCGGAGTGTGCCCTGAATACCGGACCCACCTCTCTCTCTCTCTCTCTCTCTCTCTCTCTCTCTCTCTCTCTCTCTCTCTCTCTCTCTCTCTCTCTCTCTGTGTGTGTGTGTGTGTGTGTNCTCTCTCTCTCTCTCTCTCTCTCTCTCTCTCTCTCTCTCTCTGTGTGTGTGTGTGTGTGTGTGTGTGTGTGTGTGTGTGTGTGTGTGTATGTGTATGGCGCGCACGCGCACGATGACACAAGCACACGCACACACACAGTGTCACACACAAACGCGCGCGCGCGCGTGCGCACAATCAGCACAAGCACCGTGCGCCGGGCGTCCGCTGTTCGACGTGGCGTGGGCGCTCGTAAGGTCGTGAAGTTAAGGCAATTCAAATCTGCTGCAGCAGTCGTCTCCTCTCGTCGGCGCGCCGCTTGAGCTCCTCCAACTCCCGATCGAGGAGATGTCGGCGTCGAGCTGCTTCATCGACTTGTGCCTCCACTTTCCCCTTCTCCTTTCTGGCTTCCTCGATGCTCTGCCGTTTCCTCTGCCCTGCTTCCGCTAGATGCCTTGCCTCTTCTTCCCTCTTGCGTCGGACCTCCTCCACGCGCTTGCCCAACGCCGCTCTCTCTGCCTGCAACTTCTCCTCCTCCTCCTTCAGCTGACCTAGCAATTGCTGTGAATCTCGCACGGCAGCCTCAGCAGTCCGAACCTCAGCGACAACCTGGTCAAGCCCTTGCCGCCTCTCCTTCTCGGCTTCTGCCACCGCGTCAGCAGCTCTGTTTCGTCGAGCAATGGCTGTAGCCACCTCCCTCTCCCAACCCTGCATCTCTTCCCGCTTGGCGGCTTCGTATCCCCTCGTTTCCTTGGATGCCCTCTCGTAGATGCCTCTCTTCTCTTCAGCCTCCGATCGGGTAGCGCGAATTACTCTCTCTTGCTCCTGTACAGAGCGAAGAAGAGAGAGAATTCGAGAGGAGGCGTCTTCCGCATCCAGCTTCGCCTGCAAAGTCTGACCAGTGATGCGACAGGTTTTCTCTTGAAGAGCCTGGCTTTGCTGTTCCAGGAGGAGAATCTTCTTCTGCACCCCCTGGAGAAGTACCTCCTTCTCCTCTCGAGATTCTCTCTCGCGTCGAACAGCCTCCTCCTGCTCCTCGCGGGTGGAGATCATCTTCGTCAACCTTTCCTGAAATCCTGGTGGCAGCTCCATCCCCCCCTCTCTCTCTCTCTCTCTCTCTCTCTCTCTCTCTCTCTCTCTCTCTCTCTCTCTCTCTCTCNCTGTGTCTGCCCCCGAGATTCTCTCTCTCTCTCTCTCTCTCTCTCTCTCTCTCTCTCTCTCTCTCTCTCTCTCTCTCTCTTCCTTGGGGTGCGTCTGACAATGGGCTGGCTCTTCTCTCCCTCTTGTAACTCGTCACGTGCGACTTTTCCTGTCTCTTTCGCTCTTCAAGGGCATGCTCGGTCGCGATCTGCGACTGAATCTGGCAGTGCCGGTGGTCAGATGTTTGACGAAGTTCGATTGCGAGGAACCGTTCCAGCGCACTGCCGTCCTGCCCCGAACATAACGCACCCTGATAATGGATGTATACAAGCTATACTTCTGGTCAGGTGTAGCCGAAATGGGGGTGCGTTGTGCTCGGGAACAGACGGTAGTCTACTTCTTTGTTTGTTCTTCCTTTTTTTTGGCCCTAAAACACAATTTAAAAAAGAAAAAGAAAAAAAAAAAAACACGATTTTCGTAGTTTCTCTTGCCCACACAGGGCCACGCCACACCGCACCAACGTCGAACCTGGAGTTATCCAGCGGCCTAGCTCAGTCGGTAAGCCACGCAAGTGGCATTCAGGAGGTCTTGGCTTCTGGCATTGAGCAGAGACTGCTGATGCTCATAGGGGGAGGGGACCGGAGGGGAGGCAGAGTGACTGGCCCATCGAAGAAGCTCGGTCCTGCGGTCTGATGCTACCGGCTGACCCCTGGCTGGTATCGCCCACCTGCTGCAGCAGGTATCGCACCTCTTGCTGGGTGCAGCTCCCGCATGTTCCATTGTTGGAGGCTTGAGCACGGATATGGCTGCCCCGGGGTTCCCCGTAATACTATAATGACAATAAAAAAGGCCTGAAAGGCTGTCCTGTCCAGATTGGACAGGTAATTGAATTGGTTGGGCTTAAAGAATTAGCCTTAAAAAAAAAAAACAAAAAAAAACTGGAGGTTTCTTCCCCACACCAGTGACGAAAAACCGTGAAATATTCGCCAACTGTCAGACCATTTTCGACATTCACGGTTTCGATACAAAGGCCGCCTTCCCCGCACCGTATGTCCAAGACCTGGGATAAGCAAAGTTTCGTTGTTAGAAAAGGGAAAAAAAAAAAAAAAGAAGAAGAAGAAGAAGACACGGGATGTTGAGGCAGCACCAGTACCGGGACGCTGATAGATGTCGAAATCCGCACACCCTTCACAACCTCGTTTCCGTGATGTTGAAACTCGACCTGCTGCAGGCGGGCCATTCTACACCCATGTCGAAACCACTTCTCTGACGATGGTCAAAGTGTTGTCGACATTTTTTCTTCGACAGTCTGTGTGGCGAAGAGAAAACGTCGAAAACTCCAGTTTCGACATTGGTGTGGCGAGGCAAACAGACTGTCGAAGAAAATGTCGAAAACACTTTGGCATTTGTCAGAGAAATGTTTTCGACATGGGTGTCGAACCACCAGCCTGCAGCGCCCTCGAAGGGCCTCACCACACCAGTTTCGAAAACTCCTCTTTTTTTGTTGTTGGGGGGGGGGGGGGGGGGGAGGAGGAGAAAGTAAGAGATCCATTATCAAAGTACCATGACTCTGAGGCCGGGAATCTTCACAAACAACCCGGGAGATCCAGACACAGGGCAAAAGTATTACCCCTGTTTCTGTGTTCCTTGCCGGCTAGTTATTAACCGAGTTGTCTTCAGAAAAGTCGAGCCCTCTGCTCTTCTCCTAGCTAGCTACCGTGTTCTCTTACAGCTTTATTACCGCTACTGGAGGTCTAACAGCGACCTCAGGCTGTCTACTTGACAGGCCAACCACGCCCCCAATTCCCATTGCTCTTCTACCACCTAGTCTGCCTGCCTCCTGTGGCTTCAAGAACCGAGTGTCCTGGTTCCTACCATGCACCTACCCTTCACCAGGAACAAAATTCCAACTTAAAGTTTCCTTCCCTGTCCACATTAACTAGCCAGCATGATGACTTTTTTTCCACATCTGACGTTCCCTTCCCTTGGAAACATGCCTTGTTGCGACTGTCCCAGATTACAGAACATATAATCGCCCTGAATGCTTGTGCCACGTACCCTCCCCCCTCCGTGTAGTATTGCATTTCCTCCGGAAGAATGCCCAGCGGAACCCATTTACGATCCCATTCCATGATTCCCATTCTGAGAATTCCTTCCAGTGGTTGGACCTCGAATCCCATAATATTATTCGTTTGGAGGCCGGACAGTCCCACCGTAGGTGGAACGTGGATTCAAATGGCTAAGTACATCTGGTGGAGGGTAATCTGATCTCCATTCCCTTTCCCGCAAGCCATACTGCCGAGGGTGTGACCAATAGGGACAGCAGCCAGAGGATCGCTGCGTGTTTCCCTTTTCACCTTCCAGCACCGAGCAGGTGTCAGACCCGGCCGGGCCACCCTAGCCCAAGTTCCGCGAGGGAAGCACCTTAAGCTGCGGCCAAAGCCTTTTTATTCCTCCGCTGACCTCGTCCTGTGAGCCGACCAACATGCCCTTCCAGCGATCTGTAGCCGCAGCTACCGGTAATCTGGTTGACGGTTGTAACTCTTAAACTCTGTGGACTGCTGCAACTGGTTCAAGGGTAGCGCGGTTCCGTTCTTACCTCGACCCCTCCGGCCCCATGCTGCCGGATCCAATCTACAAACGGCTAATGGATTCTAAGTTCTTTGATGTGAGCGTGGCCCTGTGTCTATCTACCTCCTCCCAGCTCTCCCGGCCTCTCCGCCATGATTCTCACTTGTTTCTGAGTCAGCAGTGCTCCAAGGGGTGGTTGCTGGTCTTCCTGCTTGTTCTGTACTTCTGTTCTAAGTACTCAGAGAAGGGGACTTTTTCCCATTTCGCGAATGTCCTCCTTCCATCCTGAGCATAGGAGATAAGCTTCCAAAATGCATGATCCTGCTCCGGCTGTTCGATTTGACATGTGTCAGGTATGAGTTTTCGACAACCGCCGTTTCCAACTCTAAACCGCCTGCCTGCAGCGGGCCAAAACTCGAAACCACAATTATAGGGAGCTTGTGAAAACGAGCAACTTTTCGACTGACAGTGTCAGAGTCGAGGCGCTGTGGAAATCCTGTCGTCAGTTCCACCGCCTCAAAAATGCTTGGAGTCGAAACGAGCTGTTGGCGAAGGCGGTTTTTTTCCCAAACCCACCAATGTCGAAAAATGCCTGTCAGTGACAGTTGTCGAAAACTAAGCGTTTTCGACACTGGTGTGGCAAGCCCCAAAGTCGACACCTCTTTGCCGAGGTTTGCTCCAGGGACAATGAGACTCTGCGCCTGAAAGGAATGGAGATGGGGCCCAACCCAAGATGGACTACAGAAGCAACGACGACACTTAAACTAAGACGTGGAAGGACCCTACAGAATACTGCACACAGCAAGATAAAGTCAGCCACAAGCAACCCACAGCAGTACTAGGATAGACGCACAAACACATGATTTGAATGGTCTCAATGTACAGCAGGTTACAAGACGGGATAAAATGGCCCAATTTACAGTAATCTGCAGCGGCTGCGGTGTATACAGCAACACTGCATCCGACTGAGACAACATCATTGGCCCCGTCCATCATCCATAACTGTTACATCAATAAGGAGATGGCTCGGTCCAAGATAAACTGTAGGTGTAACGACCCCCAAATAAGGACAAAGCCACACATTACACAGCAGAATAGAGTGAGCCACAGAACAGCTAGCAAGGTTAGCATGACAGAACGCACAAAAGACATGATAGAACGCACAAATAACATCATGATGATGGAAGGGCCCGTCCATCACCCATAACTGTTACAGCTTACAAGATATTAAGACATTGTGCTCGTCAGTCTTGTGTTGCAATAACTTACAACACAAGACTGACGAGCACAATGTCTTATCTTGTAAAACTGCAACCTTGTTAGACTATCCAAGCATACGAAACCAGGACCACGAAGGGGCCTCAGGCCGTGATCATCAGCATTCCCACACTTGGCATCCAAATGATGTACACTTCCGGAGACGCGGGACCCGTTTTCCAGCAGGTGATGCCCCCGACCCATAGACGGAGCCTTCCCCACAGGCCCACTTATCACCTCGTTATAGAGGTAACCTGTAACGAAGTTCAAAAAAAAAAAAAAAAAAAAAAAAAATGTTGCCCCCTCTCAGCGTTCTGGGGCCTGCATATCGCTGTCGTCTTCTTCTGCTTCTTCTTCTTCTTTTCCCTCTTTGACAACAAAACTTTGATTATCCAGCTTCTTTTCGACAGTCCGTGTCGGGAAGCCAGCTTCTTTTCAACAGTCCGTGTCGGGAAGGCTGCTTTTTTATGGAACACACCAATGTAGAAAAACGCCTGACACATCTAGAAAATAAGGCGGTTTCGCCACACCAATCATGTCGAAACCGCCTTATTTTCTTCACGTCTCCAATAATTTTCTTCCCGTCTCCAATTGGTGTGGCGAGGTCCACAGCCTGTCGAATCGAAATTGGAGACGGGAGGAAAATCAAAATTCACAAGTTGTCAGAGAATGCTTCTCGACACCTCCTTTAGAAAGTTGTCGAATGATTTGAATCCCCACCCAGCCTGCTACTCCGATGTTTTCAACAGTCTTCGGCTGTGCCATCGACTTTGGGTCTCGCTGCACTTACTCTCCACTCTCCGAAAAATTGGAGAGTTGGCGGAGAGCTGAAAAGCTAGCCGACTTCGTGATTTGGGGTTCACCGCTGCACTAACTATCCGCTCTTCGAGACTCGTTAGTGCACTAGCAGACACCAGGACAGCGCTAGAGGACACGGTGGGATTTGCATTTGTCCGCCCAGACTCGAGGCACTCTCTCCAAATTGGGAGCATTTTGGAGAGTCCGGCGGAGGTCCATCCGAAAAACCAGCGTCGCAGGCTGGGTACTTTCCACCAGCGGAGACTCGGAGAGTGCTTTTTAAAGGAGGTTTGTGACAGCTATCCGCAGGTTTTTGGGTGGTGGGATAGGATAGTTAGTGCAGCGATGTAAAACTCTCCGAATTCGAAGAGTTGAGAGTAGTGCAGCGAGACCCTTCTCCTCGGAATTTGGTGAGTGGGCGTGTGGTCAGGATGGACTAATGTTTGACGTCGTATCCTCAGGCACGTTCATCTTTTTCCATCTTGCATTCACAAGTGCGTCCATTCGACAGTGCTGTGCGGCTAAAGGGGGGCAAACTGTCAAAGGGAGGCTGTCGAATTTATTCTGACAGCCGTCAATTTTTTTTCCCTTTCGACAGTCACTGTGGCGTCCATTGGGTACTACTTGTATTATTGATTATCGTTAACAGTTATTATGCGTACTCCGGTTCATTCTCTTTATTTTCACATTCAGTGTTCTTCCCTGCTTCCTCTTATGACTGCTTTTGTTCATGGCTTACGGGCTCAGAGGGGAGGGACGGGAGGGGAGGGGAGGGGAGGGGAGGG